CCCCCAAAACCATCGGTGAACGAAACTGCGGCAGCTACAACCACAGTACGACGAGTACGCGGTTATTGCAGCCGACAATGATGATGATGACGCAGCATCTGATGAACATGACTTCAACTTTCAACAGTCCACAAGAAGGCGCGTTCGAGCAGTGCACTCATCGATACAGCAACTGTAACAACAAAAATTCGGCCAGAGGAAAGGTAATCTTTTAGAGTAGAAACCCGCCTGATAGGAAAACCTCAGTCCCCGGATTCTCATAACTACGTCCCCTATGTGGTTATGCCAGTACAGTTCAGAGGACACCATAACTCCGAGATATTTAGTGCAGTTAACGTGAGTTTAGGGACAATCGGTGATGATCGTTGCTCATTACTGAATCAACAAGCTCATCATTCAAACAGCGCAACCAAATAGCAGTCACATTTAACTGGCGATCAGTTCTTTGAAACACAACCCCTGGATCACGACGGTATGCTAAACAGTACTACCATAAAACTTTAATGCACATCACGTAACGTATGTACTTCTTACAAACTTGGCCTGATGGTTGTATCCATTTGGGTCATCATCAACGTAGACAATGCAGCAACACCGTTTACAACATAATTGCACAAGCTGGATGCGCTCACAAAAGCTGCCGGATCACCGTAAATCAAAACCACCACTTTGAGTTCTGCACCGCCCCCCCCCACCACCCGCTGCTTTGTGCTACCCGCATGTACCTCTTCTGTCGCCGGGGCACACAGCAGCCGATGCGGGTTATCTTCGGTTACCATGACGACAAACCATTGGTAGGCTAACAACCGTTGCGATATGCATAAACTATTGCTACGGTAACTATGGTACCTGGGATTGAGTATAAATTAACCAGACCAAACAGCTCGTTCGTTCGTAATTTGCTGCAGTCCGTGACTAAGCTTTACTGAGGTCAAAATGGTAGGTTGTGCACAAGATTCATCCCTTGCTCATCGCTGTGCAGCTGGTGACTTGGTTTAGTAAAAAGTCTTTTCATCTCATCATTTCAGCGTGAGTGCATCTCAATTCACGTTGGCCAAGCAGGTGTGCAGATTGGAAATGCATGCTGGGAACTCTACTGCCTCGAGCATGGCATTCAACCTGACGGTCAAATGCCCAGTGATAAGAGCATTGGTGGCGGAGATGATTCGTTCAACACATTTTTCAGTGAGACTGGGGCGGGAAAACACGTCCCTCGGGCGGTCTTTGTTGACTTGGAGCCAACGGTTGTTGGTGAGTTCCACAGCTTAGCTGCTATGGTTCAAAACTAATACGCTGCCACGAACTCTTGTCTTAAATAAATCCGAAATACTGATATCTCCGAAATGTTTTCACCACATGTCTGAACTACACTCATTTCTGCTTTGTCCCATCTAGATGAGGTACGTACCGGTACCTACAGGCAACTATTCCACCCGGAACAACTAATCACTGGGAAAGAAGATGCCGCGAATAATTATGCCCGTGGGCACTATACCATTGGTAAGGAGATTGTGGACTTGGTCCTGGATCGCATTCGCAAACTTGCCGATCAGTGCACCGGTCTACAAGGTTTCCTACTCTTCCACTCTTTCGGTGGTGGTACTGGGTCTGGATTCACCTCACTACTGATGGAACGCTTGAGTGTGGACTACGGGAAAAAATCCAAGCTGGAGTTTGCCATTTACCCGGCCCCACAGATCTCTACCGCGGTCGTGGAACCTTACAATTCCATTCTGACAACCCACACAACTTTGGAACATTCGGACTGCGCTTTTATGGTGGACAACGAAGCTATCTACGATATCTGTCGGTACGTTTTATAGTGGTCTTCTGTCATCTTTGACCGCATGTTGTTGACCATAACTATGTTTATAACGTTAACCCTGTATCCCTTAATTTCAGACGTAACCTGGACATTGAACGTCCGACCTACACCAATTTAAATCGTCTTATTGGCCAGATTGTCAGCTCAATCACTGCCTCACTACGCTTTGATGGTGCTCTGAACGTGGATCTGACGGAATTCCAAACTAATCTCGTGCCGTACCCACGTATTCACTTCCCATTGGCTACTTATGCACCAGTTATTTCAGCAGAGAAGGCTTACCACGAGCAGCTCACCGTAGCTGAGATCACAAACGCGTGCTTTGAACCAGCCAATCAGATGGTGAAATGTGACCCACGCCATGGTAAATACATGGCCTGTTGTATGTTGTATCGCGGTGATGTCGTACCGAAGGACGTGAACGCTGCTATTGCGACTATCAAAACAAAGAGAACTATTCAGTTCGTCGACTGGTGCCCAACTGGCTTCAAAGTAGGCATCAACTACCAGCCGCCAACTGTCGTTCCTGGAGGTGATTTGGCCAAGGTCCAAAGGGCCGTTTGCATGTTGAGCAACACAACAGCGATTGCAGAGGCTTGGGCACGTCTCGACCATAAGTTTGATCTGATGTATGCAAAACGTGCCTTCGTTCACTGGTACGTCGGTGAAGGTATGGAAGAGGGTGAGTTCTCCGAAGCTCGTGAAGATTTGGCGGCTTTGGAGAAGGATTACGAAGAAGTTGGCGTAGACAGCGTAGAGGAGGAAGGTGAGGAGGAGGGAGAAGAATACTAAAAATATATATGCATCCAATATATGTCACTCTCAACTTACCTATGTTTCCACGTTAAAGAATACAAGCTTAGAATCAGTGAATTTTGTCTTCTCTTGTGAGAGCTTTCGGTGGAAATATTCAGAAGATTAATCAAGGAGGTTTTAGTCATCCCCCATCCGCAGGAAAGAAAGAGGGATCCAGCTGGGTTTAAGGTGAATCTCTCGCAAAACCAAATATGTTTGCCACTGAGTGTATTTCGCTAATTTCGTGCAAGTTGGTTTCAAATAGAACATAAGGTTGACGGAAACTAGGGGACTGCGCCTACCTGACGAGCCCCAAGAAGGGCGAAACCGGTAGTGGGGTGTCGAGTAGTTTTCAGCAACCTTATGAGTAGTGGGTTAAGAATATACATGTATTGCGATAAATCGAATACCGTAGCGACTGAAACATGAGGCGGCCTGGTGCAGCATATACAGTTGTCTGGAAACGTCCCAAATGAGAGATGCAGCTGGGTCCCAAATAAGTCTCTCGCAAAACCAAATTTGTTGGTAAATGAGTGTATTTCGCTAAGGGTAGGATTAGTTAGATTTCCGTGGAAAGAATTATCACTGTTAATCCGGGGATAGGATGAATCCGTGGCCAGCAAATGTAGGGTTTCTCTGGTGAATACCTTCTGTTGATGCCACGTGGATGTGGGAGAGATAGGTTGCAGTTCAACACACAGAAGCTGCGTGTGCGCTTCAGCCCGATTGGGCACTTATCTATCACCATCATCATCATCAAAGACAGCAACGTGTGCGCTCCCGATTGGGCACTTATCTATCACCATCATCATCATCAAAGACAGCAACATCAGTGTTGGCACTGATGCTTCACTGCCGTCCGTACGGTTGTACGAGGGCTGGGATACTCCCAGGGCGCCCACACCTAGACAGGAGGATGATTAGGGTCCTCAACCAAAGCCTTTGGGTCAAAAGCCTAACCGCAAGGCAGCGGTATTTGGCGGGGAAATGCAGATGCATTACCTTTTCTGCGGAACAAGTCGCCACACATGTTCCAACCCCCAACCTGCAGGGCCAGGAGACTGTGTTCGTCAGACCTCTAACCATTGACCAACCTGGTATGAGAGACTCTGTAAGTGTCTCGCGGACAGCCCCCAGTATAGCTCAATGGGTCTCCGAGGTACACAAACCGCCACATCACGGTAAGGTCCAGTCTCTTCGTGACGGGGTTTATGGTCCGTGTAGATAGTGAAGTTTCTTCCTTCGAGAATGTATCGAAAATGCTTGACCGCTGGATAGATCGCTAGGAGCTCTCTACCAAAGGTGCTGTAGCCAGTTTGTGCGGGTTGCGGTTTGCGAGGGAAGAAACAGTGTTTGAATACTGTCATTCACTACCTGCTGGAGGACCGCACGAACAGCGGTCTGTGATGCGTCCGTTTTTAGAATGAGTCGGTAATCAGGACTAGGGTTCAAATGACCCAGGGTGGTGACTTCCGAAAGAGTGGTTTTAATGGCGTTGAAGGCAGTGGTAGCTTGGTCATTGAATTGTAACCGTTTGTTGTTTGCTTTGAGCAGGTCGGTTATCGGTGCGAGGATCTCTGAGCAGTGTGGGATGATTCTGCCGTAATAGTTGACCATTTTCAAAAATCGACGAAGGCTTCGAGTTGACTGAGGTAAGGGGTAGTCCAAAATAGCAGTGCTTTTATCTGACAGCGGCCGGATTCCTTCGGAGTTAATACGATGGCCGAGGAAGTCAAGCTGGTCTGCTGCGAAAACACACTTATCTGGATTGATAGTGATGTCATATTGTTTGAAACGTTCGAAGACGTCTTGTAAGTGTAGTTTGTGTTCTTCGATCGTTTTGCTTGCCACCAACACATCGTCAATG